AGAATAAATAAAACATATGTAGATAATTTATTAACATTAACAAACTTTATACAAATGTCAAACCAAAAAATAAAAATCAACGAATGATAACACTACCATACACGGAGTTTACAAATTTTTGAAGCATATATACGCAAGACGCGGTTTACAAATKACTTAAAAATAAAAATTAAAAAAAAATTGTTTGGTTTTGTGTTTTTRCTTGAAGATTGTAGTATTGTGTCTSCTAAATTTCTCARCATTTCTAAATTTTCCAATATGTCAAAACATTCTTTCACTAATTATAAAATTTTARATAATGTTATCTATCGTTTTAGTTTTATTTAAACACAAATACAAAAGTTACAAAACGYAAAAACACTAATTTTTAAAATAACACTCAAAATATTTAAAATATTATTTCACACATATTATTTTTTATATTGCATACATAAGAGAATTCAATTTTTTTATAAATAATAAATTTTGGATTATTTTTAGAATTAACTTATTTCATAGAAAAAAAAAAATTATACCCGCACAAGGGTGTGGGTCAGTCACCTAGTTCCTATTTAAAATCATAAAATTTAGATCTTTGTATTTTTAACTAATCAAATATTTCAAAACACCTTAAAATCATTAAAACTCAATGATTAATACTCTAATAATCATCCCCACTAGTTCAATAACATTTTCGAAAAACTTTTTAGATTCCATGGTTCACTTCAGTTACATAAAATTTAACATTTTAATACAAATGTCTCCAAAAAGTTAAATTGAGTACATTCTGTTTAGGCATTCGACAAATTTACAAGTTTAACAAATTCCTCGTATAAACCCCCCCCATCAATACTAATATAAATTCAATAGAATAATAGAAATTGTCAAAACTTAAAAAATCAATAAAAAGAAAATACCTGGAAATTTACTTCTCTCTATATAAGAGAGAGTCTATGTCTCCTCCAATGTGGCTTCTACACGAACTAACTTCTCTAACTCACAGAGAATCAATCAGATGCCTACCACTCTCCCCAAGTTCGATGTCTTTCTCAGTTTCAGAGGACCCGACACTCGCCGCAACTTCATCAGTTTCCTCTACAAAGAACTGGTCCGAAAGAACATTCGAACATTCAAAGACGACAAGGAGTTGACTAGTGGCCGGAGAATCTCGCCGGAGCTAATAAAGGCCATCGAGGAATCGAAATTCGCCGTCATTGTAATCTCCGAGAACTACGCAGCGTCCACTTGGTGTCTCGAAGAGCTCGTAAAGATCATGGATTTCGAGAACAAGGGCTCTCTCACCGTGATGCCAATCTTCTACGGTGTTGATCCGTGTCATGTGAGGAGACAGATCGGAGAAGTCGCCGAACAGTTTAAGAAGCACGAAGCGAGAGAAGATCATGAGAAAGTGCTTTCATGGAGACAAGCATTGACTAATTTAGCAAGTATCTCCGGCGACTGTTCGTGGAAATGGTAAAAAAAATCGTAACTTTGATGATGATTAACATTTTTAGGATTGATGGGTTTTGTTTGATTTCGATTTCTGTGTGAAAGAAGAAGAAAAGTTTGGATTTTTAATTGGTTTTGTGTCGTTTAGGGAAGATGACTCGAAGCTGGTCGACGAAATTACTGAGAGAATATCGAAACAGTTGATGATTGCT